AGAGACAATAATCCAAAAGTTCTTTATCCTATTTTATGACCATGTGCTGATCATAACTTGTAAATAGTATAAATGTATTGATGATTTCTTGATGATAAGATTTTCAAGTTATTGTGAGATGCATATGTGTACCTATTGCTTGGCGTTCAGTTTGAGCCTCAAGCCAATGTTGTTCAAACTGAATGTTGTAAAGTGCTTCCTCTAATTTTGATATTTGTTGCAACATAGGATTGAAATGCTCTGCATTACATGTAGAGATAACATATTAGACTTTTCATAAGACTTCCCACCAGTGAAAGAATAACCTTTTTCAAGTGATCAAGTTTCATTAATTGAAACGCTAGACAGTTTAATTACTCAGTTGTACAGCCATTGAAAAAACTTTATTTAGTTAGATTCATGCAATGTGTGGACTTTTAGTTTAATCTGTATGTCAAATTTGTTTTGGAAACATAAATTTTAGATGACTTAGATATTGGGATTTATTAAAAGTTAGAGCCAGGTCTCATAATTCAAAAAGTACTATAGAGATATTTATAAATTAATTACTAACAAAATTCTCATATTAGTGTGAGATTTAGTCATATGCTTTTGTAAGGTATAAGTTACATCCTTACTGATCAGATTAATTTTCATTAGCAATACTATGCTATAAGTGAAATGACACCAGCATGGACAGCCAGTAATGAATCAAAACGGAAGATAAAGATTTTTTTCCCCATCAAAATTAAATTGAAAACTCAGAAGCCACAATAAATCCAAATATGAATATGAAAAAGTTAGACCTGAAATCTTTTTTTAAACTAATGAGAGGCAACGAATTAAATTATCTTACCGTCTTTTACAAGCTGATCATAGAGGGATAAGTGGCTGATATAGACATCAAAATCAATAGTTTCATGATAGGGAGACCTGTTGGTAAAACAGAAACGATGAAGGCCTTTACTAGTAGCCACAAACTCAAACTTTTCACTTGTCTTGTCCATGAGCTCGTAAACTTTTTCACCCGAAGGCCCCATAACCTAAGATCCATCAACAAAGGAATAATGCTTGTGAGTCAATGATTAAGTGTTCTTTGATTTGTTTTCTTTTCATTTTAACAAACAAGATTAAGTTTCCAAATCTATATTAGTACTACCTTTAGTTCTTAATATAAGAGCTAGTTGATTAATTTGAAAAGATTAAGAAAATAAATTAAGTTAATTACTTGTAATAAATAAAATTGTCTTTCCTAAAATATCCTTCCTAATTAAGTGTATTGGCTAGAACTACCATTATTAGAAGGATCACCTTAAAAAAAGCATAAATATGAGAAACAAGATGGATTGAGATTTTATATTTCGGACCAAAGTAAAAATCAAACGAAATTTATATTAAAGACTGGAGGTAGTAATTATTTGGTCAGAATATACTCCCTCCAGTCCAAAATTTAGGAGCTAAAATAACCACTAATTTATAAAGATTAAGAAAATCAATTAAATTAGTTATTTATAACAAATATATCACATTTAGTCATTTACATTGAAAACAATCCCCATTGATGAAACCCTTTTTAGAATGCGCAATCAATGGAATTGTTTAGAAAATAATTATAAATTTATAAGATAAAGTGGATTGATTTTTTATATTTGGAACCAAAGAAAACTCCTTAACCAACTTCTACATTTAAGACAATTGATAATATTATTTATTATGAATTCCAATTCTATAATCACTTGAAGTTCTTCCCGGTCTCACTTGATATCTTTTGATGACTAAAAGCTATTGATTATACTTCCTACTAACATATCTATAACCCCCCCCCCCGGGTTTTTAAACATGCTGAAACCACCTTCGGAGAATGATTTGACATATATAATCACATCAAAACAATTCATAAAGCAGAAAATTAACATAAACTATACAGAATCTGCAACAAATTGTTTTAAATTCTAAATAATGCCCATATAAAAAAGCTTGGTTACATTGTGCATAAGATGTCTTTGAGAGTATACAAGAGAGCGGGATATAGTAGTATAGTTACCACAATGTCAACACCTTCAACAGTATATTGCCAAGATGCATCAACCTTAATGACAACAAAAGAAACATGAACTGTGTCCCTCTCGTACTGCACATTATGAGAGAAACACTCTTCCCTGTTTATCACAAATCTGATTCCTTCCACTGCTTGCAGACTCAACATGAAGCTGCTTATTAACAACAATATTGGTCCCACACCAATGCCCAAATTCCGCAAACCCACCTTCATTTCTACATCAAAAACACAAGCCATACCTATCAAAACCTGATACTACTTATAAGAGTTAATTAGGAACTAGATTTGATCATAAATATGTCAGTTCACCCTGTCTTTCAAATTTATAATTCATTCTCTAAATATCCTACTGATTACACATATTAAAGTGGTTTTCATCAAAGGATAGTCACGTTTGCAAAGAGCACTTTAGGAAAATTAACTTGTATTTGTTTAAGATAACTAAATTAAATAATTTTCTTAATATATCCAAATTAATTAAGTAGCTCTTATCTTAAGAAGTAGATATAGTAATTAATATGCAATTTCATAAGAAATTATCGTTCATTTTGAAGAAACAAAATTATAGTTTCCCAGAAGAAAGAATTGTGGATATATATATATATATATGAGCGTGTACGTGCGTCTGCAAGCATGCAACAAAGACAAGGTATTTACCAAGAAGTTAAGGATAAACAATCCGCTTAGGGTACAAACTCATCAACATCAACACTACGAAAGCATGAAATTAAATTTGGGGCTTCAAATAATTTCATTTTTTATTTCAAAATTGATCTTTCTCGGCGAGTATGAACATGATATGCAATGCAAGAATCGAACAGAGAAAATGTTACCTTTTTTCGCTTTTCTCTGGAAACCTGTCTCAGCTCCCAAATCAATCTGGATTAAACAGGAAGAACTTAGCGAGTGCGATGTGAAGATTCACAATTTTCGATAACTGTTATCACATCTCATCTGTTTTAAAATAGTTCGCCAATGGTTTTTTATTATGAAAATTTTAGAAGTGATTTTTAAATTTTTCATTGTTAATTTTCTCTTTTTTAAAAAATATGACAACTTAATACTATAATTTGAATTAAAATGTATTTTCAATAATCATGTACTTCTATTTGCAAGGTAGGTCCAGCCGCTGAATAAATGAACAGCAAAACAAAATGCAGCAGCTGTTTGGATCTCCATTTAAGAGAAAAACGTGCCTAGGAATTTGCAAAACGCATGTTTGAAGCTCATTTGGAGTTTTTGAGTTGTTCATGTAGGGTGTATTTGGAATAGTAGTGGCAGAAGTAACTTTTCTTTAATCTGACTTTTACAGAAGTCAGATTAAGTACAAGTAGCTCCTTTGAGATTATTACATGAATTCGTTTCAGTGACAGAAGTGAGATGCACAAAATGTGGATCCAAACATCATTTTTCAACCTACCTGTTACTTCTCCGGTTTGGATGCACGTTTGGGCCTCCAAACGTGATCTCAAACACGCCTGTAGATTTTTTGTCTATCGAACTTTTTTTGAAAATTGGGTGCCGTAGAACACAGAAATTTACCGTGGTGAGCATTTAGATAGCTTATTTCCCATTAAAGAAAATTTAACGCTCATTCAAAATTTTTACGTACCATATTCACCCTTCTCTCTTTTCTTCGTCACTCTTCTCCGTTATGCTAGTTCTCCTAAGCATCTCCAAATTTTCCCTTCAGCATTGCCTCTTCTCCCTTTCTTTGATTGACTCGTTGGTCATTCCCTTTTATCCGGTTGAATAAGTGTTGTCTCCCCCTTTCTCTGGCTAATGTAGTGCACGTAGGGAGCAAATAGCAAGGTTGGCTTGAAATTATAGTGTTGTTCGATCTGGTCTGTTGTGTTATAACTTGCTTTGCTCTGATGCTTCGCTAGTTCTTCCTAGCTTGCCCTGCAATCTCAAAGAAAGGTAACCCAAGCTCACCTCGAAAATCACTTTTTTGTTTAAACTTAGAACAATGACTTATAAATTGTGTTTGTGACTCAATTCAAGAGCAAATTAAATTGTACAAAGCTTATGATCCAATTAGTTATATAATATTATTTAGTTAAAAAATTTCAATTTAAATGAATTCTAATCTAATCAAAGATCAAATTGTACAAAGTTTTGTATTTTTAAAATTTTCTTAATAGCAAATATTTTTATTTTATAATTTTAATTTTAATCATGTTCTAACATCGCATAAAAACATGTAATATAAAACAATATTACTATTCAATAAAATTTATTTCCTTGTCAAGTTGATTTTTTATAAACTCTTATTGAAATATAATACTAAATTAACATGAACTAAAAGTTATTTTTGATGCCATTAATCCAAACACATCGTCCAATGCTTCAAACCAGAGGCATATGGATCATCTGCCTCTACGCAGGCGAATCCGGCGACGGAAGGTTGGTCTCTCTAGTTGCTGTCATCTCTCTCTTCACGTTATCGCCGTTTTCCCCTCCTATATCTTGGTCTTCTCTCTATCTACGGTTTGTCTTCTCTGCTCTTTGTTCTTCAGTCTCGTCTTCGCTCTTCTGATATGTAATTCGAATGGTGTTCTAGCTCTATAATTTGCACTATGATTTGTTGCGCTTACCAGATAGAAGAGAAAATTGGTAAACAAGTCCGTCCGATGAGGCGTTGAGACTGAAATAGGGTGAGAGAAAATTTTCGCGCCAAAGCTCCCTGAAAACTGAAATTGTCATAGAATGCCCAAGGAAAATGCAGGTGAGTAGGTTTAGGAAATAGGAATGAATAGTGAGGATTAATTATCCAAGGATGTGGTGATGATGTGGCTTCAAACGTACGCCACATCAGCACGAAACAAGGGATCCAGATCCGATCCACTCTCTTTCCGGATCCGGATCATATCGGGCCTTCTCCCCCTGAGTCGCTTCTTGTGCCTTTTCTTCTACTGTCCCGCCATTCCTCTTCTGCAGACAGTGATTACCTCTCATGCCTACACTTCTTGCAGCTTAGCTTCTCTCTCTCTATCTCTCTACTGCTTGTGAGTTTTCACTGGGGATGTTTCAGAACTTTCCCTCTTTGCATCAAAATCCGGAAACCCGTTTCCCTATAGAGCTACTTTAAGCTCTCATACAAGCTACCTTTGTGGTTCGTCTAAGTTCAGCTTGTTGGCCGCCAGTTGCCTACGAGTCTTTGCGAGGGTCTTATTCAGCTATTCTAATTCAGTTTGGATTTTTTTGCACGTAGTTTTTGAATGAATGACGATCTCCGTTATCATTTCCGCACTTGAATTTCTTTAAGTGTACCCGTGATCCAATATTCCAATTTGATGAGTGATTATTGGATAAAAGTATGTAGTTGAAACTTGTCTTCATCTGATTCCCGTAAATAATCTGAAAAATCTTTGTATTTGTGTTGTTTTCAAACCATTTCTTTTACTCCTGTGAAACATGATACTTGTGGCTGACAATGATTAAATTCGAAATGTACATAGCATGCTGATATGTGTAAGGTGAGAATATTGGTGTGTGTGTGTGGAACTGTATATAGTTTTCCAACGAAGTTAATTAGCTTATGATAATATGAGAGGAGATTTCTTGTCCTATGGTGCTCAGGTTGATTTATCAATAATTAACTCGGAAAAGAGGTGGAATTGGTGCCTTTGCATACTCACACATTGTTCTTGTTATTTTCTTGCTTATTTCATCGATGTTTTCTGCTGAATTGAGTGTCTTATGCATTTCTTTCAAGCTTGTTTGGTGGCTATTGGATAACATTCCCTAATATTACTTCTTCTTTTCTTCTTCTCTGTCTTGTGGCATGAAGTTGCTTTAAAACTTGGTTGGCACTCGCATCAGTATGGATGTAGCACATTGCTATTTAGATGGCAATGCTGATGCTGTGGAGTTCTGTCCACACAACTCATACCACCATGTTTTAGCAGCCTCTACATATACACTGAAAGAAGGCGATCAACCAAGTCGATGTGGAAGCATTTCACTCTTTAATGTTGATGCTGAGTTAAGCTCCCTCGACTTGGTTTATTGTGTGGAGACTTCTGGGATATTTGACATAAAGTGGAATCCGCCAGGAGTGCATGCTAATTATTTTCTGGGGCAAGCGGATGCTGATGGGTACTTGAGAATTCAAAAGCTGGAGGGTTGCTGTAGTGATGCTAAAGGTATGCATTAAATCTTTATTTTGTTGTCATTTCCACCATGCTTTTTGTGCCTTTTCTGTTGGGGGGAAAACAAGAAATGTGAAATAAATTACTTTTCTTGATTGAAGAATACAATATTGTCGAGTTCATAACTTTTCAACTTATAAACCATTTTAGAAGTACAAAAATTTCAAGCTTGATATGCATGGGTACGGATAGTCTGCACAAGTAGTCTCAAAAGCTTCCTTGAGAAGTTTGATTCCTATTCTTGGCTTTTTCCAGGAATTTCAAATGCTTCTATTTTATTATTTGACCAATTCTATTGGGAACGTTTCACAATGGTATTAGAATATTTCATTGCCGCTTCTATCTATTGTTTGGCTTACAAGTCCACAGTTACCTGCTTTTGTTTCTCTAGCTGCACTTTTTTTTCAGGGTGGCAGGTTGTCTTGTTGAACAATTTTGGGAGGAATAGATAGTTTTGTGAAAATGTAATATAATATCACCAAATAACTTTCAGATAAATGATATCATTATGACAACTTGCTGTACATGTATACAACTATGCTCAATACCATGGCCCATGGGTTCTGTTGCTAACAAAATTAGCATAAATCACTAATCAGTCTAGCATAACTTTTCTAGCTTAACTAGTTAAATGATATCCTTTGTTAGTTAAAACTATTAGTGTAATCCTCTGCATTTTGTAGTCTCTTGTATGTGTGCGCACACATATATGTTAAGTTGCGGCATCTAAGATTGGTTGAAAACCTCGCAGTTTTGTTGACGTACTGAACTTCAATAGGATACTTGGCTGAGGCATTTTATTTTCTTGGTAATATTATTTTCTATTGGCTCTGTGGCAGGGGCTTCTCTAAAAGAAGTGACCAGTGAAAAAATCAGCAATTCAATGTGCCTGTACCTGGACTGGAACCCTTCAGCTACATTAATCACAGTGGGGCTTTCTGATGGCTCTGTATCTATTGTTTCCCTCTCAGAATCCGGGCTGGAAATACAAGAGAACTGGAAGGCTCATGATTTTGAACTATGGACAACCTCCTTCGACACTCACCAACCAAATCTGGTATACACTGGCTCCGATGACTGTAAGTTCAGCGGTTGGGATTTACGTGATAGCCCTTCTAGAATGGTGTTTCAGAACTCCAAAGTCCATAAGATGGGTGTCTGTTGCATTGCAAAGAGTCCCCATGACCCACATAGCTTATTAACCGGCAGCTATGATGAGTCCTTGAGGGTATGGGACCTAAGATCCATTTCAAGGCCAATTAATGAGACTTCACTTTGTTTAGGTGGAGGAGTTTGGAGGGTGAAGCATCACCCCTTCATCTCTGACCTGGTTTTGGCTGCCTGTATGCACAATGGGTTTGCAATTACTTCCATCAAAGGAGGGGAAGCTCAAGTTTTGGAAACTTACAAGAAGCATGATTCACTTGCATATGGAGCAGATTGGCAGAGAGGAGAAGCAAGCCACAGTGGCGGGAAGAAGAAACCTCTTGTGGCTACGTGCTCATTCTATGACAAACATGTCCGGTTATGGATGCCCAAAAGTGAGTTTGTGTTGTAAGTTAGTGCCTAAAGATAAGCCTAGTTTTCCATTAATGGAATACTTGCATCTTCATTGATATTAATTGTGCCAAATGTCCTTTTTTTGTTTTTCCTCATGGGGCATAATCTTTTTGTCCAGGTCAATGATGAAGCTGATTTTTTCCCTTTCAAACATGACTGAGTTATGTGAATGCCTCGTCTCCATTGTTTGCATATTTTAAGCTTTGTTTTTGTTTTTATAAATTGATCATTGTCTAATGGGTCCATTGTTCCAACTTCCCATGGATAGGCCATAGCAGGTTGTCGTCTTAGGCTCCTAGCAGTAAAATGAGTCTCTTGTATACCTACAGAGACTCCATGTATCCCTCTGATTCTATTTGTGATGTGGTCATCTAAGCAACTGAGCCTGCCATGTTAATTATTAAGGGGATCTCGTTTGAAAACTATAGTTGGTAAAAAAATGATCTCGTTTGGCTGGTAAGAGAAAAAGAAAGGGATCTCGTTTAATAAACAGAATTTTAACCCTCCCAAACTTTGATATGAGCACGGCAATTGGATAAGCGGTTTTCAAAAAGGAAAAAAAAGAAGTTGAATACTTGCCTAACACCATTGCGTTTTAGGCATTTTGGGAGAGCTTAAAATTCTATTGGGACCATTCATTAAAAAAACTTGGTTATCACAAAGTTGTTGTGGACCCTGCAGAAGCTTTGTAGCTGATCAATGATCGAGCGCAAGATCATCCTCTCAAGAGTCAGATCATACAAATTCACCACCTCCTGATGTATGATTGGATTATTACTTTTGATCTCATGTCAAGAGAAGTCAAATGCTAATTCTTTTGCTTGTTAAGGTCATCTGATGGATCTTGGAGCTGTCATCATAAATATTTCTGCTGCAAATTATAGAGCCACTCTCAATATTTCACTCGCACGCTTAGCTAGTTAGTCTCTACGCGATTTCTTGCGCCCTTTTATTCCAAAAAAAAAAAAAAAAACATTTGTTGAGATGAGAAGTGAAGAAAGTTAATATTTAGAGTGACTCAATGGCATTTTTTACCTTCATCTAGGCGTTGAACAGGCTAAAAGAAGAAATCATTTGATCCGAGTTTTATGCATTTTATTATATTTTGATTTGATATGTGATTTGATATGTACTACATAAGAGCTAGTTTGAATTTTATTTTGATCCTAAATATAAAATCCTGATTCACTTTGTTTCTCATATTTATCTATTTTTTCAAAATAATCCTTGTAATAATGGTAATTATAACTAATACACGTGATTAATAAAGATATTTTAAGAAAGACAACACCTTTTTATCATAAATAACTAACTTAACTAATGTCTTTAATCTACTTAAATTAGTCAATTAGCTCTTATATTAAAAACCGGGGGCAATATAATATACTAATATTTCAACATTTACGCACCCCAACTGTCCTTAAACTCAAGCAGCATATAAGCATAATCAATCTACAATAAAATACTCTTCCACCGAAACACTGTTCATAAGCCGTTTGCACTGTCTTGGGCTGCGTGCACGCCTGTTTTCCAAATCTTCCCTCCAACAAACACACTATTTCACAATGTCATGCATTTCATTCACATTTTCCCTCCTTGAACGATACAGATGCAGCTTCAACTTGAAATTCAAATAATGTTCCCTCCTTTTTCATGAGGCCACGGGCATAAATAGGTAGCTTATTCCCATTACCTCCACTTTTCCCATATTCTTGTCATCTCCTCTCTCAATCTTCGGTTGACAAAAATCATGTCCACATTGGTAGGAGATCCAGTTGCTTTGGTAGATTTGTATTATGGCAGATGTGAAGGATGTATTTTGGTGAAGGTTGAGAGGGTTATATTCAGGGAGAAGAAGGTTTGGAGACGTGGTTTTACAAGAAGTTTCAGGTTTTTGGTTTCTGTTGATCTGTTGGTCTTTGATGAACTGGTTCGTCATTTTGGCTTATGATACAAAATGTTTCTATTAGTCTATGGTTTGGTTTCATTACGGTTTACTTATTGGTGAATCATTCATGAATCTTTCAGGGTACCCATGTATTAGCTGTTATAGAAGATGATACGGTGCTTGACAGTCTCTGTGGTCGATTAGTTCAAGGCCAGTCATATAGGATCTCTGGTTTAACTGTGAGGCCTGATGGACTTGGTGTTCATAGTAGTTACCATATTTATTTACAGGAAGGGACGGTGGTTTTAGATGCAGCAGAACTTCTTCCTCAAGTGTCTTTATTCCTTAGGGGAGTTGATTGCTTATCATATGGTTATTATCATGATTGGGGTATGCTGGGTAGGTGAAAATGTTGGATGCAAAATTCTTTACATGTGCTTCGTTGAAAATGTTTGACGTGGTCTTCATGGATTTTTTTTTTGCTAATATGTTATATGTTTTTCTAATCTATTATTTGGTTTTCTAATCTGTTATTAGATGCTTGTGGTTATCTTCGTGAGCTTTTGAGCCCAACAATTGCTAAAGTAAATGGTGTGTATTGTAAAGAAGTTACGCTGATACTTGAGCAGAAACACTTTGAGGAAGAAGGAGGGTATATGTTATATTATATTTTATATAATATGTTTTTCATTTATTGTCAAATCAATTATTAGTATCAATTCATAGATACTGATTTCTCAATAATATTAACTAATGAATAATTACTTTCAGAAATATTGTTATATGTACTTTGCATGGAGAGTGTGCTGAGACCACCATTACATCATATAACTCTATTACTAACACTGAACATGTGTTTGTGGCAATACAACATGTTATAGGTACCAGTTTTTTTCAACCCGGTAAGAATATATCATGAAAGTAGTATGAATGTATTTTTGTTTATTTGTTAGTTCTCTTTCTAAGCATTGTCATTTTTTTATATAGGGGGGCCACATCTAACCTCTTTTGGTGAAGCTACAAGAGTCTTCTTTAATCCTGAGGTGGCTGGTATTGTTGAAGAAGGCTACTATCTTTTGTCTTCTGGAAGACCGATGCTGAAATAGTTAGGATTTAAAATCATCATGGCTAATGATATTATCATTAATGAAGTTTGTAATATTATTTCCTTAACTTTGTTGAAGCCCTATAATAACCTATTTTTATCCTTTTTTTAAAAAATTATCATGAACTTTTATTAATGATTAGAATGTTTGTAAGTTACATTTACAAGTGCATTACTGATGGGCAGTTGACAAACACGAGCTTTAGAATATATTTGGAATAGACTAAAAATAGTACCATGACCAAAAAATTATTCTAACTTCTGATTACTCATTGAAATTAAAAGATGTAAAAAAGAGACATAGTCAAATAATACTAATAGTAATTTATTAATGATTTGAATGTCTGCAAGTTACATTGCAAGTTACATTTACAAGTGCATTACTGATGGGCAGTTGATAGTTGACAAACATGAGCTTTACAAAAAATTATTCTAACTTCTGATTACTCATTGAAATTAAAAGAAATTAAAAGATGTAAAAAAGAGACATAATCAAATAATACTAATAGTAATTTAATAATATTAATATTAATCAGTTCAATTAGACATTACAAAGACACTTTAAAATGCATACAATAACATAACATTACATAATATTAACTATGACTTACTCATATCCTAAGCAGCGTGCCATGCCATGGACATCCTACAATATATGTAAAATTATACTATTTTATATAGAAAGCCACCGGCTACTGTGGGACCTATTATCTTAACTCTAAATATATTACCTAAAATGATATATTACCTATTATTTTGCAACCTTCGTCGTTTTCCCCTCTTCCCCTTTGTCGCTTATCCTTCAAAACCCGTAATCTCCATTAGTTACAAACCCTAACGCTTCGCCGAGTTCATTTGCCGAAGGTAAGCCATATTCGCAGCAATCTATTCCTCCTTCCATTAATTTAGTCGACATTCCTTCCTCTGTTGCGGTGAAATTGGAGTCAGACGATGATATTGTTGTTTCAATCTCTTCCATGGGTGCTTCCTCCTCCTCTGTTTCTTGAGTTCTGTTATGGGTATCAATTAAGCTGAGGAAATATCGAGCAAGATTGTTTCCAGCAACTGGGAAGACTTTCATGTATGAGTTCATAGTCACATCCTCAATCAAGAGAGGGTGAGATGAACTGACTAGTATCTTAACACGGAATGATGATTTGTATTTCTGGATCGTATGCAAGAAGAAGCTGATGTTCTCCAGGTTGTAGCATTCTGAGATATCCCATTCAATGTCGTGTATACCTTCGTTGTGAATGAGCCCGTAAATGCATCGGAACGGTATATACCGATGGTGAAACCATTCTGCAGTGCCGGCCTCTATGATTCCTGCCTCTGAAGCCTTCAAGACAATACGGTATGAAGTTAAGTTAAGGTGTGCTGATATTTCTAGAGGGCCGCATGTTACACGAACAAATCTAACTCCATAGATTTTCCATGTCCTGAGCAGAGCGTAAAACACAATTTCTGAAAATCCTTCGTAAGGAGGCATTTTGACAAACTTATCTCAATATCTATTCTCGGTTTATATAAGCGTTCTAGATATGTGAATGAGGATAGCGTGAGAGACATATATAGAAGAACTTATATATATTCTGTTCTGCGTCATGGTTTCTGCGGCTTCGTATAAGTTACCACTTTCTGTGTTGCATTTATGTTAATGATGTGACGTATGCTACTAGTATTGGGTTGTGATGATCATCATAATTAGCTCACTGTGTGAAACTATTTTAATTATAACTTGCCACAAGTTTCGATGCCTTTTTTTGTTTCACACAAGTACATATGCATATCTTCTACTTCATGTCATAAAACTGATACGTCGCAGAGCTGAAACACTACAGCGACGCGTCCTGTTACTCAATTTGCCTTATCCCAATATGTTACTCAATAGTTGATTATAATGAGTTGACAAGATGATTAGCCATTCGTCCACATCTTCTGCCTATCTTCTGCAATGTATTTGAATTTAATCATGTGCAATGATTTTACCACTGTTTACCAGCGTTCCCTGTTTCAGTTCTCAATTCCTTTGCAATTCTTATTTGTTACTTGTGTATATCCCTATTGTCTGCTTGCCATATGAAATGAATAGTCATATGACTGCATTATATACCTTTATCCAAACTGTGACTGCATTGTATCCTTTATCCTAATAAGACTACGCTTGCTACAAGCTTCTATGCCTTTTTTTATTTCACACAAGTACATATGGATATGTTCTACTTCATGTCTATTTAAAACTGATATGTGATAGAGCTGAAACACTACAGTGCGCCATCCCTGTCCACTCACTTCACGAACATGACTTATTCCTAATGTCTTCATATTTTTTATTACTATGTTCATTACATTACCACTCCCATGTAACTCTCCTGTTCCTATAAGCTTGCTATGGTTATCTTTTGTATCACACAAGTACATATGGATATGTTCTACTTCATGTCTATTTAAAACTGATATGTGATAGAGCTGAAACACTACAGTGCGCCATCCCTGTCCACTCACTTCACGAACATGACTTATTCCTAATGTCTTCATATTTTTTATTACTATGTTCATTACATTACCACTCCCATGTAACTCTCCTGTTCCTATAAGCTTGCTATGGTTATCTTTTGTATCAGTGAATTGTGGCCGGTTGGCTTTACAATTAGGACATCCTATGGTACAAAGGATCCTATTTTCATTCTGTCCACATCTTCTGCCCATTATTTGCAATGTATTTGAATTGTCTCCTATACAATGATTTTACCACTGTTTAGCAGTGTTTCTTATTCAATTTCTCGGTTCCTTTGCAATTCTTCTTTCAATTTAATCCTGTTCATTTTACTTCATCAGTATTCTTGTATGCCCATTCTTGTCACTCTGTTTTTAACAACATTTTCTTCTTTATTATTAATTATATAGAAGTTGGCAATTTTTTCTAATGTCATTGATGTTCATAGCTTATTTAATAGCTGACTCTATTGACTTGACATAATGATTACTTGTGCTGTCCAGAGCTTCTGCCCATCATCTGTATTTGAATTTAGTCATGTATAATGATTTTACAAGTGTTTATTTAAGTCCAGTTACTATATTTATTCTTGTGTTATATGGGCATTCAAGATATGATGATGAGGATGGAGTAAGTGACATATACAGAGGAAGGACTACGCTTGCTACAAGCTTCTATGCCTTTTTTTTGCTTGACAGAAGTAGATATGCATATCTTCTACTTGATGTCAGTTTTAAACTGATATGTGGTAGATCTGAAACACTACAGTGCGCCGTTTTGAACCATGTAACTCTCCTGTTTCTATAGGCAAGAAGATATGCATATCTACTTCTGTGCGCCGTCTTGCTAGAAATGTGTAGATATGCATATCTTCTACTTGATGTCAGTTTCGATCTTGCATACTCCTAATGTGTTCATATTTTTTATTATTATGTTCATTACATTACTATTCCCATGTAACTCTCCTGTTTCTATAGGCTTGCTATGGTTATCTTCTGTATCAATGAATTGTGGCTGGTTGGCTTTGCAATTAGCAAAGAAACCTATGCTACAAAGGATGTCGATTCTTCTCACTCTGCTTTAAAGAACATTTTTTTCTTTATTATTATTATTAATTATATAGAAGTTGTCAATTTTTTCTATTTTGGTTGAAAATGTTCATAGCTTAGTTAATACTTAACTTTATCGACTTGACATAATGATTACTTATCCTGTCCAGATCTTCTGCCCATCATTTGTAGTTGAATTTAGTCATGTAGAATGATTTTACAAGTGTTTAGGTTAGTCCAGTTATTGTACAAGTTCCATATCTCTCTTACAAACAGTTTGCCTTACTTATGTATCTGTGTTTCACTATGCCTGTACCGTTGATATGCTCTCTGTTTAACCAAATGTTGGTACTTTCCTATCAGCTGTGTTTTACATTATGGCTTACCTTTTTAAGTCGAGTTATTATACATCTATTCCTTATTTCATTTTTTCATTCCTTTTATGATTCATAGCAAATTGTGGCTGCATTATATATTCCAATTTGCTTATTCCAATTTCATGAAGTGGATATCTTCCTAACGCCTTGCACTGGAACTGGTTATTATTCTTGTCATTCTGCTTTAAACAACATTTCTTACTTTATCATTAATTAATTATGCACAAGTCGGCCTTTTTTTCTATCTTGAATGATGTTCATAGCTTACCCAGTAGCTGACTCTATCGACTTCACAACATTACTACAGTCTCTGTCCATACTTATGTTCTAACAAGGTATTCAGTACAAAATCTTCATTGAAATAGAATCTATTCCTATTGAATGAATTGACAAAAGTTTATGAAAACGCAAATGGTGTACAGGTTCCACCCATAGGCTATCAGATTTTATCAATATCAGATCATTTATACTTTATCTGCAAGATACAGCTACTGCCTTAATATATAGGTATGGCGTATGAAATCAAGTTGCAGGTCGTGATGGGTATGGAGAAGATATCTTTGCTGGCAATTGTCAACATTGTATGTGCTTTGTGTCATTCGTTTCACTCATACCTTCATTTATTGTGCACTGAAACCTAACTCTGTGCTTTGAAAACAAACTTGTGAGCTACCTTAGAATATGTATATCTCCGTGTTTTCAAATCTGGACAGGATAGGTAGCTTAGAATAGTAGAGAAGTCATTTGAACACTATCCAGTAATATCTTCCGCCCTCATCATAGATGTTTCCCGCCACAGAATTTCATCTTTATCATTCATATTTCATTATAGATGTTTCCCGCCACATAATTTCTTCTTCATCATTCATGTTTCCCACCACAGAATTTCATGTTTATCATTTGAAGTCTAACTTGTCTCTTGAATGTTAAGTCCAGTAACATATTTCATTAGGAATAAGTCATGTCATCCTTCAGTATAAAAACTGATTAGTTCCTTCATATTTTTCCACCGTTCAAGTATCTGTCTCTGATCACAAAGTTTGTAGCCTAAGGCTTCTATTCTCTACATTGTTGCTTACTCTGAAATTCACTATGTCACGTATATCATTGCTGAAAGATTTGAATGATACAACCGATAGGTGGCACATAGTGGCAAGAGTTTTCAGAAAATGGAATGTCTTTCATAAGGCAGCCCCTTCAGATATTTTTTGTGTGTCAATGGTTCTATTGGATGAAGAGGTATCTTTTTTCTTAGTCCCAATCTGAGTTATGTTCATTTCTTTTATGCAATAATGATTAATCGAACTACTATGTTTATGTGCAGGGGGATAAAATACAAGCAAGTGTTTTGAACAAGAGCTTGCATGACAAGTTTCGGCATGGTATTATTGAAGGACAGACTTACTTCTTTGCCAATTTTGAAGTCTCTCCAAATGTTAACCAATATAGAGCAACCACTCATCCTTTCAAGATTACCTTAACTCCAAGAACCCGTGTTGCTGGGAAACTTGCCAGTCTGCCAAGTTATTCTTATTCATTCTTCCCACTTGCTGATATCGTGAAGCTTGATCAGAGCCATGTTATTGATTACTTGATAGGTAAGTCACGTGCTTTGAAATATTTTATATGCTTTACTATTACATGAAGTGTTATTATTCTTCTTCTATTTCATTATATTGCCTTGAATTGTAGATGTTCTGGCATTTGTGAAGTCAATGGGCACACTTCAAGAATATCGTCGCGACAATGAAACCAAGAACAAATTGCGGATGGTCTTAACTGATATAGAGTATATAGGCCCCTACAATGTTTACTGTTTTTGCTTTGCTTTATTTTTGTTAATCTCAGTATAGTAACAGATTTTGATCTTTTATTTGAAACTTGCAGGGGAAGTGATGTCGAATGTACATTATTTGATGAAGCTGCCAATGATGCATTTATGTCTCACTTACAAAATACACAAACACCAGCTGTGTTGTTATTGAATATGGCCAGGATTGGATTTTCAGATGATGGTAACATGCCCATTAAAATTTTCTGGGTTCGATGTTCCATGTCACTTACTATTTTTTCTGATACACTGTTAATATGTAGGAAAACCACAAGTTTGCAACTCTTTTAATGCTACAAGGGTGTTTTTCAATCCACCTATTAAGGAAGTACAACAACTTATTGATAGGTTTGTGGATATAAGGAAAAAAATGAAATTATATAAATTTAATTTAATTCTGTATTGCTTTCATTTCTTTAGTTAATTAATTATATTCATTTTAATGTAGTGGAAAAGATAATGGCTCACCAGCTCTCTCATTTCTCAGTCAAACCGCGCCTTCTCAATTGAGCCAGCAGTCATGTTCTGGAATGGCACGAAATCAAAACAAGATCACTATCTCACAGATAAAAGATCAACCAATGGTTAGTGTTGTTTATTGTATGTATAAAAATAACTACAAATGCTAAGTTCATTTACCTTAACTCTGTGTGATGGCAGGGAGAAAATTTTGTTATTAACTGTATCATTCAGAAGTTAGAGACAAGATATGATTGGGTTTATGATGGTTGTTCAAAATGTGGCACAAAGCCCCGATTAGAGAATGAAACTTCCATATGTCCATCATGTCGCAAGACGCCAGATTCAATAGAACCAAAGTATTATTACTAATCACCTTATTATATGCTGTATATGATTTTAGAATTGTTAGTATACTAATTATTAAGTTGTGCTTTAGGATGAAAGTCCACTACACTGTCAAGGATCACACAGGAAGTACTTCTGTCATTTTCTGGGATAAACTTGCTGTTGATTTGATTAAAAATACAGCCACTGAATTGATGCAGATGCTAGAGAAGGTATAAAAATTATTCCAAATTCTCACAAGTCGTATTTGTAAATGAATAAGTCTGTATTAGATTAATATTACTTCATGTGTAACATTTGCCTACATAGGATCCTGAGGAAGTTGATTTCCCAAAGAACTTGGACAATCCTGTTGGGAAGAATTTGTTGCTCATTATGAAACTCAATGAGTATAACAAACGCCACCCAGGTTCTAGCATTAGTGTTTTGCAATATCAATTATGTGAAGATTTGATGGATCAGTTCACTCAAGCATCAACTGAGGTTTTTATTCTTTAAAAGATTCTTCCTAATTTACTGTTTTTTACTTATTAAATTAAATAAACAGATTTGGACTCATGATAGTTGTGGTCTATATTTGATTTAGGGTTCTCAGGTTGACAATGGAGAAGGTGAGGAACATGTCAAAGCTGATGAAACAGTTCCTCCAACTGCACAGACAGAGTTTGTTTCGGACTGTAATGCTAAAGATGATATGAAACTATCAGATCTGGTCAACCATGCTCCACATCCTCCTGTTAAAGCAAAAAGAAGAGGCAATGTGAAGAACAACGCAGTGAACCATATGGATGAAGCATCTCCAGCTCCTCAAGAGAGACGTCTGAAAGCTATCAAGATAGAGAAATAATTTAGTAAAAATGAGTCTGTTGTCAATGGTGGTTATGTACTGTTGTCGTGTCATTTATGCTTTGTAGCTGTTTAACTTGTGTGTCGCTGTTTTCTGTGTTTCCAGATTCCATTTAGTGTTTGTTATGTTTAGGATGGAGCTTCGTTTTAAGCGTGTGTGTGCGCTTTGTATGCCTGTGAGTCTTTGTCAATGTAATGTCTCTTTTTAATGAAAGTAGTTTGTGTTTGTCTTAGAATTTAATCCGGTTTCTGCCTTTATTAAACCATCAAACTCATAAATTTAGTTTGAAATAAGATACTATGATTTATAAAGAAATATTCAGTCTGATAAAGAAATAATACACCAAGGTCTTCTAATTCATGTGAATTAGAATTAATCATTTTTTTTTAGAACAAAGAAGCAAGCCCGTGTTCAAATTTTAACAATTCAAGAATGATTATAAGTAACATATGAACTCTCCTGTGATTGTCATGTTCAATGAAATTCATTTTATCCATGAAAGAATGTAAACAAAAGTTGCATTTGTTGTAATGTCCCTTTGGTTTTCGTTTGGATAACTATAAACATTATTTCCTCTTGCTTAGATTTCCGATTGGTAAATATGTATTGGGTATATGAGTGTTATATGTAATAACATACTTAATACATGTTGTCACCAACACTATTGACCAATATACTTTAACAGTAACACATATATATATTCGAAAATGGGAAAACTGTTACCACGGATAGGTAGTAAGGCAACCAATCAAAATGAAGGACTTGGATAGCTAAGAAATGACAAGGCAACCAATCAAAATGAAGGACTTGGATAGCCAAAAAGTGACCGAATGGTTATAAATGGACTACTAAAAATTACGAGCTATATATATAATACTCCATCCTCATTGCACAACAAGTTCATTGGCCACCATGTCTTCCAGTGATGAATTCCTGCTCCATTCTCAAGTCAATTCTACAGAAATGCAGACCAAGAAAAACATGCCAACGTCAGGTTTATTATTTCTTCTTTTGAAACATATTCTAATAGAATATTTATGTTACATTCATTTTTTTTTGCTTTTATAATGTTCTGTTATCTTGTACTTTACAATAACTAATAGTAATGTAATAGTTATTTTGTGTTCAAAGTCACCAATTTGTTTAACTTCATTGTTGATAGGAAATAATGGACAACATCAAAACACTTACATGGCAATTGTAACAAATCAGAGTGTAGTTCACTGTTCTGAAAATATTAATACTCAACCATATCCAGTTTTGTCCGATATTCGTCATAGCCGAAGAAGGAAAGCTACTGCACTCGAAGATATAACAAATGTAGCTTGCAATCTACAGGGGAGATTTGATAGCAATTTGTTAACAGGTTTGTGCGTCACTTTAATAACTAATACCGATTAAACCATTTCATTTATATGTTTGTCTGGGACAGGTTTAGAGAACTCTCAATGTTCTACGCATAAAACACCATTTTCTCAAGTTCAACCTCGGACGCGAAAAAGTGCTAGAAGCAGAGGACTGGAAAATATAGTTCCATGTATAACAGCTGACAAAAATATTCAACAGAAAGGTTTGTCAATGTAATTAATTTACATGAATCTAAGTTTAGTAATACATGCTACATAATTTATGGGTCTAATATATTTATTGTCGTATAAAAAAATCATAACATTTTGTTCGAAGCCATAGAGATCGTTGAGCTGGGAAGTTCGTCACTTTGTACAAATACAAGTGCACCTGTGAAAAATTGGCAACAAAAACAGACAAATGCAACAAATACATGGGCTAAAAGTAAGTATTTTGAATACTTTATAATTTGACTACAAGAGGCATAAAAAATATATTAGTTCATCTTTATTTAAGGTTAATAAAATAATGCATAATAATTAATTTTTTTGAATGACATTAGTATTACTGCATGTAAGTTACCTAATTGAGCGAATGATAATATCTTGCTCCTTAATTGTTAGGATCATGATATATGTTTCTATATTAGACCTTATTTTAATGCATGTGCAATGCATATATCAGACTTCGCAGAGCAAGAAATGTTTTACAAGGATATTGAGATCATGATTGGTGCTAATGATAATGATGATATTGAAGATAATATTAGGCACGATGAAAACATGGCAGGTTATTATTTTTAAGTTTTCCATTAGATGTTTATAATTTTATATATACATTTATATATGTCCATATGATAGTTTGGTTATAACATGTGTTCAATTTCAACAGATATAGAAATATGCAACACACTTACTCATTTACAGTATGCTTACCATACATCAACAGCTAGCTTGGATCACCAAATTTATAACGAAGGTATCATATTATGTCTAAATTTAAATATACTGTAATATTATTGTCTCCTTATAATAATCTGATTAACTTTAAATTGTTCTTTAGGATACATTGATGAGGGAGATCCTATACATAAATGCAAATTTTGTGGTGCTCTCATGTGGTTTAATGAAAGAGTCAAGAAAGATAATAAAAAAAGGTCCATAAATATCTTCTCAATGTGCTGTATGCAAGGAAAAATTGTGTTACCACCTTTGAAGACTCCACCTCCTATATTCCAGCGGTTATTTCTGCAAAAGGATAATGCACAGACGAAGAATTTTCTGTCAAATATAAGACAGTACAATAACATGTTTTCTTTCACATCAATGGGAGGAAAGATTGATCATTCTAAAAATTCTGGTGGAGGTCCTTACTCATTCATATTGTCTGGACAAAACTATCATAATATTGGTAGCTTATTGCCAGTTCAAGGTTCAGAACCAGTGTATTCACAACTATACATATTTGATACTGACAATGAGGTTTCCAATAGAATTGCTGCTGTCAGGTACTAGCTTCTTTTAATATCTTTACTGTGTATTATACCTATTTATTTCATCAATGAATTGAAAATTGATATTTATTTTTCCTGTAGTAAACACCAGAAGGAATCAACAATTGATCCAGGAATTGTTCTGCAAATCAAGATGGTTTTAGATGAAATTAATCCTTTTGTACAACAATATCGATTTGCTTCTCAGTTTCTGAGCATTCAAAATCATCAACATTTGAAGTTATGCTTGCTAAGTTCCAGGGCACATGATGGGCGAACCTATAATCTTCCATCTGCTTCTGAAGTTGCAGCATTAATTGTTGGTGATATAGATATGACGTTTAATGTCAGAGATATCATTGTTGAAGAGCAATCAGGGAGACCTCAACGAATTAATGAACTCCATCCAGCATATTTACCTCTACAATATCCTCTGTTATTTCCATATGGTGAAGATGGTTATAGAGATGATATTGAACACAGACAAGAAACTCTTGCAATTACAAAGTCAAGAAAGAGGTTAAGCATACGTGAATTTTTCACATACAGGCTTATGAGAAGAGAGAATGAGGTGTCAATCCTATTACATGCATCAAGATTACTTCAACAATTCATTGTCGATGGCTACACAATGATTGAATCACAACGATTGCTTTGGGTTAGAACTCATCAAAAAGAACTCCGAGCTGATTTATATCAAGGATTATCTGATGCTGTTTTAAGTGGTGAGAGAAATGCTTCACACACGGGAAAACGTATCATTTTACCATCAACCTTTACTGGTGGTGCAAGATATATGCTACAAAATTATCAAGATGCTATGGCATTATGCAGATGGGCAGGCTATCCAGATTTATTTATCACATTTACTTGCAATCCAGCATGGCCTGAAATCACTAGACTTTGCCAACAAGATAATGTAAGTCCATGTGATCGACCAGAAATATTGTCCAGAGTTTTCAAAATGAAATTACGATCTTTCATGAAAACATTAAGGGAGAAGAAGATATTTGGGACAATTCGTGCAGGTTAGTCCAAAATTATTTTTTTATATTTCTTAATGTTTAAATCATTAATTTTTTAAATTATTATTACTGTCTATACTTTATAAGTGATATTCATTATTAATACATCTTATCTTTTTTTATTTTCTACAGAAGTTTACACTATTGAATTCCAAAAACGAGGCCTTCCACATGCACATATCCTGTTATTTCTTGATGAAAATGACAAAATCAAGGATCCAAAAGCCATTGACCGGATTATTTCGGCTGAGATTCCAGATAAGCATTCTTCTTCTATTCTGTATGACTTAGTTCAGAAGTATATGATCCATGGTCCATGTGGAATAGTTAACCCAAAATCTCCTTGCATGAAAGACAACAAATGTAGCAAATACTTTCCAAAAAAGTTCAATGATGTTACCACAGTTGATGATGATGGTTATCCCACATACAGAAGAAGAAATGATGGAAAAACAATTGAAGTTAAAGGTGTTTGCTTAGATAATCGTTATGTTGTTCCATATAATCCTACCCTTCTGTGCATGTTTCAAGGACATATAAATGTCGAGAAGTGCAATCAATCTACTTCAATTAAATACTTATTTAAATATATTAGCAAAGGCAATGATAGAGTTGTCGCTACTATATTTGATAAGGATAACAACAAGGATGAAATTGTTGATGAAATAAGGCAATATTATAGTTGTAGATACATATCTGCATGTGAAGCATCATGGCGTATGTTTGGATTTGATATCCATTATCGGTTTCCTCCGGTTGAAAGATTGAGTTTCCACTTGCCAAATCAACAATATGTAATTTATTCTAATACTGATGATGTTGCGGACTTATTACAAAGACCACGAGTTAGTGAGTCACAGTTTTTGGCTTGGATGAAAATGAACAATGATGATGATTTAGCGGCAAATCTTACATATGCTGAATTTCCTAATTATTATGTTTATCAAAAAGATAAACGCCAATGGAAACGAAGAGAGAAGGGGTTTGCTGTTGGTAGAATTACACATGTATCGCCATCATCTGGAGAATTATATTATCTCCGAATTTTGTTAAATAAAGTGAAGGGTCCAACCTCATTTGATGATATCAAAACTGTTGATGGAGTGATTCATGATACTTTTAAAGCTGCATGTTTTGCACGTGGACTCTTAGAAGATGACAATGAATATATTGCTGCAATAAAAGAAGCATCAGTATGGGCTTCAGGATCTCAACTGCGAAGGCTTTTCGTAAGCATGTTATTGTGTTGCTCACTGCAACATCCTGACACTGTATGGAAAGAGACATCAAATATACTCTCAGAAGATCTACTTCACATACCTCGCAATGATCCTGTCCTCTCAGGTATGTGAGCTACAATTCTCATGTCCTAAAACATGTGTGTGTATATATATATCATATTGATATTTATACCAATTTTTTTCCATATTTTGTAGATATTCATATCTCATTGTTTGATAAAGAGAATATGGCCTTGAAAGAGATTAATAATCTTCTCAGAGCAAATGGGAAGACTCTTCATGAATTTCCATCTCTTCCATTGCCATTGAATACTCCAGTCATTGATATAGCGAACCATCTGATAATGCAAGAGTTAAATTATGATAGAGAGTCTTTGAAATTAAAGACTACCACGCTCATGCAGAAGTTGAATGACGAGCAGCGAATCATATATGATAATATATTATCTGCAACAAATCTACCTCAGGGTGGATTTTTCTTTGTTTATGGATATGGCGGTACTGGGAAGACCTTTCTTTGGAATGTATTAATTACAACATTACGGGCAAAGGGTGAGATAGTTCTTCCAGTTGCATCAAGTGGAATAGCAGCAACATTATTACCATCTGGAAGAACGGCACATTCAAGGTTTGCAATTCCTATTCAAATCACTGAATCTTCTGTATGTGGGATAAAACAAAATTCACCACTAGCTAATCTGATTAAGTCCACGAAGTTAATTATATGGGATGAAGCACCTATGGTTCAAAGATATTGCATTGAAGCATTTGATAGAACATTAAAGGATATCATGCACTCTAACTTACCATTTGGTGGGAAATGCATTGTTATGGGTGGTGACTTTCGTCAGATACTTCCAGTGATACCAAAAGGTACAAGAGCTACAATTGTTAATGCTTCCATTAATTCTTCATATTTATGGAATCATTGCAGAATTTTCAAGTTAACGAAGAACATGCGATTAAGGAAAACTAATAGTTCCAATGATAGAGAAAGGTTAGAATGGTTTTCGAATTGGTTGCTAAATATTGGTGATGGAAAAATAGGGCAATCAAAAGATGGTGTTGCAGATATTGAAATCCCTAAACAGTTGTTACTCACAAACTATGACAATGCTCTTCATGCAATTGTACACAGCACTTACCCAGATCTTCTTCATAATTTAGCGTCTAATGACTATTTCAATGACAGAGCAATCTTGGCTCCAACAATTGAGATGGTCAATCAAATAAATTATTACATGTGTTCTTTGTTACCAGGAGATTCATTTCAATTTCTCAGTTGTGATACTGTCTGTAAAGCAGATCAAGAAATAGATACAGTTGACGATTTGTACAACACAGAATTCTTGAATACTATCTCTTGCTCTGGAATGCCACCGCACAAGTTAGAACTCAAAGTGGGAGCACCGATCATGCTATTACGAAATATAGACCAAGCTTCTGGTTTGTGCAATGGTACACGCCTTAAAATTTGTCACTTGGGAAAAAATGTGATTGAAGCTGTCACGTTGAATGGATCGAGCCCCTATCAGAAGGTTTTAATTCATCGGATGGATATGAATCCTTCAGAAAGTCGTTGGCCGTTTAAAATGCAAAGGCGACAATTCCCAATAACATTATCTTTTGCAATGACAATTAATAAAAGTCAGGGTCAATCATTAACTCATGTTGGTCTATATTTACCGAAGCCGGTTTTCACACATGGTCAGCTGTACGTTGCATTATCCAGAGTAAGAAGTATGGACGGTCTGAAGGTTGTTGTTGACGATCAAGATGGTTGCTTCAAGTCAATCACAACAAATGTTGTGTACAAGGAAATATTTAGAAATATAGATGGTAATTGTATTTAGTGTATTTATCTATAGTAGCCATTTTATCCTATGTTACATTATATATTGTAATGACACATATTGATCATGAGTCCATATTTCCCGTGCAACGCACGGGGGGAGAAAAATCTAGTTAATGTTAAAATATAAAAAACGCGCGCCAACATTGTAAGTCACGAATCAGTTTTTCGCGCATCGATCATGGCAGTTTCTTTTTGGGCCACGGCGATCAAGGCATTAGTGTTCACAACGAACTAGCAGTTTTTCAGGTGAGAAAAGAGCATTGAATCAGAAAAATATGCACTTGATTCTAGCTACCTTTATCTCTCTGAACAATACTTGCTGCTGCAAAGTTTCTGTTCAGTTCATACTTCAAAACCCACTTCTCTCTCTCTCTCTTTTTCACGGTACCCAAATTTCACTCTGCTATTCAATGACGAAGATAGATAAGCAAAGCATCTTGAAATTTCAGGAAGATGCTTCCGAATTCCTATGCCTTGAACGGTAAATTTTTGGTTGACATTGTTGCTCAGTTTCTAGGTTTGGCATTGGGATTTTGGAGTATTTCGAGTTTCAAGGATCAAGAAGATCGCTGACTGATGATTGCTGGAAGCAGTGCTGACTGGTCGAATGTAAGGTAGGGAAGTTCCGGTTGCTTTTCTGATCTTGGACTCTTTGATTTTAGGTCTGATGATGCCGCTTTCTTTGTGCGGTTTCCTTAAGATTGGCTAAACAAGCTAATTTAAAGCGCATCCTATTTGCAGATTCTGGAACAAGACGTTTGCTTCGCTCTGCATGCTTGTTGGTCGTTACATCTCATGGTTTCCGTCATTTTCTGGCCGTTTAACCCCCTTTTAATGCGTCCAACGACTTACCTTACTCGGTTTCACCTTTCTATATTGTTAAGCGCAATCTTTTGTATCTTTAGGGTACGTTTGGATTTAATTGACTTTTATTTCATCAGATTTTCCTAAAAATCAATTAGGATAAAAGCGGATTACTAAAATATAATTGATGTTTGGATTGATCTTTTTATCAAAATCAGCTTACTAAATTGAAACTTATTTGGATGATAATAAAAAAAATAAGTTTACATGTAAAATGACTAAAAAAGTCATAAATTTTATAACATATATCTCATATATATAATTTGATAAATTTAAGAAAAATAACAAATTAATATAAAAGTTATAAAAATAAAAAGAGCTAATACATATTTATATTATTTATATATAATGTGATAGTTGTGAGAGAAATATTAAAATACTTAAAATTTAGCATAATTTGTACTCTGTGTACAAAATTTCCAATGTGTTGCTATTCTCTGTGTTCAAAAATTTATCAATTTTTTCTCATCAATTAAATTCCTAACGAAAACTTTTTCTCACTTTTCTCTAAATTTTATTATTTAATTTTTTTTTCATTTCTTTGGATACTTTCTTTGCGTCCAACACCTAAAATTGCTAAGTATAAAATTAAACTAAAAATTATTTTAGAGTGTTGAAATATTTTTTTTCATATGCTTCTAGTTTCCTAAATTATATTTTAGTACATTTAATATCTTAAAGTATTTTTTAATGTGTGTCAAATACCTCAACTTATTTTTGGGTGCATCTAATACCCAAAATTGTTAAGTATAAATTTGCATTAAAAAATATTTTAAGATACTAGATGTACTTAAAAAAATATTTCAGGATTTTTTATGTATCTTAAAAAAATTTCGGGTACATTAAATCCTTTCGTTTTTTAATTAACGTAAAGGGGGGCCCATTTCAAAATTCTTTTCTTTCGTCTCATTAGTCATTTTTTCTATCCCTTTCCATTTCTCTCTCCACGTTGCCCTTTGAGTTTGTCCCAAAAGCTATAAATTTTGGGTTTTGCCTCACCACCAACCATAGCTTTTTCTCCAAAAACCCATTTCCGCTAACTTGAATCCAAACTATCCCTCACTGTTGTTAAATAAGTCACTAACTCAGATTTTATACCTTCTTAGGTACGTTTACCTCTCCCATCGGCATTCCAAACTCACGCTTCATATTTGAGGTTTAAACCATAGTTTGAGCTGAAAAGCCTGTGAATTTAAAATACAGAGCAGATAGGTCTTTGAGTTTGAATATCTATGACACTTTGTGCTGGAAAATCCTGCAAAGCAACAATAAAAATAGGGTTTGGGTTGTACCTAAGAACTATAGTAGGACGGAGTTACAGAATAATTGGGGGGGGCAAAAAAAAAACTCAGCAAAAAGTAGATGAGAGAGGAGGATGGAATAGGTTGAAAGTTTAAGAGCTGGAGTACTTTGAACTTCAACCTCAGGTCTCTTTTATAGGCCATTAATCCATGTTAAGATAAAAAAGTAATTAATGAAGTAATAAGGTTTCTAAAAATAGAAGATGCATCAACAATAAATTGAAGAAATAGTAGGATAAGAATGAAGAAGCAATTAATAAAGTGATAAGACTGTCAAGTAAAGAATAAGATAAAATAAGAATGAGAAAGCAATTAATAAAGTCATAAGATTGTCAAGTAAAGAATACATCAAATAACGTGAGACTCTTCCTTTGACATATTCATAATGATCAAAATACTTACTGGTATACTTTCAATTTCAATTACTTTCATGTGACATTAATTTTTAACAGGTTCAATTTAAGGGTAGAATATTTGAATATAACACACAATGGTGCAAAATTCCTGGCAGAATGCTCCTGACTCTCCTTATCCAAAGAAAACAGAGGTTACGGAGATCGACTCAAGTCTACCTTTCCAGTCTGTTAAAGATGCCGTCGCTCAACTTGATCAAGGTTTTTCTGCTGAGGAAAAGCCTGCTTTTAAGAAGGCGAAACCTCATTCTGCAGAGGTAATTGTGCATTTTGGTTACTGCACAGGTTAGGGAAAATTGCACCCACATACCCTGTTCTTCAATCTCCCATTACATTGTCACCCTTAATATGGAAAGAATTTCAATCTACCCCCTAATCTTGAGCTTTATTCTAAGTTGTCCCTTACTACCTAATCTAGGCAAGGAACACGCCGCCTTTATCAAGCTTTCTGCCACTTGAACCTCTTTTTCGTCTTCCATTATTGAATGATAAATGGAACTCTTATGCAACACAAAATTAAAGAATGGCATGCTAATACTTTCATCCCTCACAAATCTCAATCTTCATTGCAAATCAGATTTCTGTGTGGCTTTGCAGTAATATAAAAAGAGAAATTGCCTTAGCTAGTTCCCATCAATTTTCCCTTTATCTTGTTATTAGATCTTTAAATTTTCAGAATCAGTTCGATACTATCCAGCCTTTTGTCTTCCCCATCTATGTTGTAGCAAATTTTATGTTTTAATATACAACAATTATGATCCTCAATTTGTCCTTGAAGTTAATTTTTTGTCAATCTCATAGTGTTCTTCTGTTCGTCGCTGGAAGATAGTATACGTGAATATCTGTTTTTATTTTGTACCTATTGATCTGATGATTGGGTCACTTTCAAATCATGACACCAAGTTTCAGCAGATTCTAAGACTGTGCTATCTTCTCCAAGAGATGTATGTTAAACTATTCCTTTCCCAGATGATAAAATCATGGGAATCAAGATCCAACAGGAAACTGTAAAACTTTTTTCTCTAAATTATTTGGTTGTTGTTTTCTTTTTTCTTTGTGCTTTGTTGCGAACTTACCTTCCCCCCCCCCCCTGGATATTGTTGTTTTATCTAGAGTGTATTTGCTTGTGAGACCCAACCTCACTTAGCCCAGAAAGAGATTAACACGTTGAAAGAACGACTAAAAATGTAGAAACTACCAAGGCTGAAGCTTTAGTGGAACTTGAAAAGGCTAAAGGAACAGTTCATGATTTTACTCAAAAGCTAAAAGCTTGTGGTGAATCTAGAGAGCTAGAAATTAAGGTGACCGAAGTTGAAAGGAGTCATGCAAAACAGCTTAACGAAACAAACAGTGGCAACTGGCAAACCAGACGGAATCAATGGTTCTTGGAAGAAAAGTTAGAAACTGCAGCTGAAATGTATGCTTCTGTTTTTACAAAATTTGATAATGCAAAGCAAGAACTTTGGAAGATGCGTTGAAAGTATCATTCAGCATTTGAAGCCAGAGTTTCTGCTTTCAAGCACGTAGCAGAAGATGAGGGTGTGATGGAGATGAATACAGAAAGTGTATCTGAGCTGTCTAGAGAAATCTCAACTGTACAGGAATCCATTGAGCAAATTGAGGTTGCCTCTACGCAAGCACAACAACAAGAAGCAAAGTTATTAGGTGAGAAAGATGTCAACCCTGAGCTCACCAAAAATATTGAAGCACAGCTGGCTAAGACAGTGGATGGAATTGAGGCTCTTCGAGAGGAAATGGACTCTGTCAGAAGTGTCACTTTTGAGGTCAATGATGCTAACAAGTCGCTGCAGAAAGTAGCAGAAGATAAAATCTCTCTCAGAAGCTTGTTGGAGTTTCTTGAGCTGGAACTGGAGCAAGTGAAAAGAGAGCATTCTGAATTCAAGGACAAAGAAACAGAAACTGAATCAATTGTTGGGGATCTGCAGGTCAAACTTCAGACAAGTAAGTATGAATAGGAAGCCTGCTTTTCCGAAGAATCTAAGTCAGAAGTGTATTCGAGGAAATGATCTTGACATTGAACCAGTTGTCATCTGAAACTGAAAATGCACGACGGGATGCAGATGACATGAAGAACAAGGCTTTAGAACTGAAGAAGAAAGCTGAAATCAGCAGACTTCCATCAGAAGATCCTAAGAAAAAGCTTAGACTAGCTCTAGAAGAAGCAGAAGCAGCGGAAACATCTGCCCTTAATCATATTAAGGACTTATCTGAGATGAATAGAGCTGCACGCTCCACAACTTCAGAATCTGATGCTAAAATTACAATCTCAACTGAGGAATTTGAGTTGTTAAGCCATAAAGTTGAGGAGTCCAATAAATTAGCAGACATGAAAGTGACTGCTGCCATGGCACAAGTTGAAGCTATGAAAGCTAGTGAAAATGAGGCTTTTAAGAGATTAGAGGCAACTCAGAAGGAGATCAATGATATGAAAACAACACAAGAGGCCTTGAAAAGGGCTGAGATGGCTGAAGCAGCTAGGATGGCAGTGGAGAGCGAATTTCGTAGGTTGCGCGAATGTGAGCAGAAGAAAGCTGCAGAAGCTGCATCTCAAACATTTGAAACACAGATTTCATCAGGATCATATCCACAGAATTGCAAGATTCCAAAGCAAAATCCAACTCCACTGACTAATGAGGTGCGGAAGCTTGAGAAAGAAATTTCAGCTTCAAGAAAATACTCAAGCCAAAAATTAGCAGCATGTTTCACCGGAAAAAAAGATCAGGTTGACAGCAGATCTGTATCTTATCTTCATAGGCATAATTTCGTATAAAAGTTTTGATATCAATATTATTATGTGCAGCTCATGAATGTGAGAGAAACATACCATTTTCTGTATATTTGACACCAACTTGATGTGACTTTGCTATTGCCATTTCTGTTCAAGGGATGCAATTAATTTGCGAGATGCCAGGATTTTAGAGACAAAGAGGCATCATGTAAAAAGGATCAATTATTAGATTATCAAATTGGTAATTCTATGATGGAGATTCCATGGCAGGCAGCGTGAGCTCTTTCAAGAGAAGGGACTATAACAATTGGCTGCTATTGTCTCTTACCCCTGTGGTGTTGTTATGCTTAGCTACGAAGTTTTTATACACTTGAAAAATGAGAAAATAGGTCTTATTCTTTTGTTGCTTTTTTTTCTTTTTCAATTTGGTCAAATGGATATATGGGATTGGACAAAACCACCTAATGTGAATCATAGTTGGATGTTTAATTTAACTTATTTTAAATGATTTTGAATTAAATATACAAAAGAAATTTTGTTAAAATGATTTTTGGAAGTGCTTCTAAGTCCTTATACACTTATTTCTCACTATTAAAGTTCATCTCTTGTGAGGGTTCTAAGCACATGATATTTATTTAATAAAAGGGCAATTTTACTTTAACAAATAAAAAAAATACATAAAAAGCACTGGGCTTTTTCAAGCTCCCACTCCAATTCCATTTCCTTAAAAAGAAATGACATTCGATTTAGGTGGTTCAAACATTATCATGAGAAAGCAAACAAATCATGTAATAATGCAATTTATAAATGTTTGGTGTCAAACCTTTTTTTTCTTTTTAGAAAAAAGTTTTGGGGGGGCTAGTTTTTTATTCGAATATGATGCCTTTAAGATAAAAGATAAACTCGAATATTTACATACACAAGGATTGAAATTCAAAAAGGAAAGAGGGCGGGGACAAATTGGAAGTGGTTTTCTCACCTTTTAGGAAATAGATCGCGGGATGACACGTGTCAAATCTCCCGGTCGTGACGCCATTCCACGACCACTTCATCATAGTTCCTAAGGTTAAGGTGTATCCAGCACCCCCAAGTATTTTGCCAGGTGTATCCAGTGGCCTAAAATAATTTATGGTGTAATTTTGCCCTCAAAGTAATTAAAATGGTGCACCGGTATCCCATGCTAACAAATCTATTACTTTGACCGTTAAATTGATGAGTCAGCACAAGTTTGACCAAAATAATCTGACCTGGCATGTCTAATAAGCAAGTGATGTGGAATTTTTTTCGGAGTTAAGGTGCATCCAGCACCCCCAAGTATTTTTCCAGGTACACCCAGTGGTTTAAAGTAATTTATAGTGTAATTTTGCCCTCAAAGTAATTAAAATGGTGCACCGGTATCCTATGCTAACAGATCTGTTACTTTGACTGTGAAGTTGATGAGTTAGCACAAGTTTGACCAAAATAATTTGACCTGACATGTCTAATAAGCAGGTGATGTGAAATTTTTTTCGTTTGCCACTGCTTTGTTTTCTCTGTTCAGTTAATGCTCTCTTCGGCTCTTGGAATTTTTTTCAGAGTAAGAAATGTTTTTAGAGATACTCCTCTAGTCCTATTTATAGGGTAGAGAAAGAAGATATTTTTTTATACTATTTATAAGGCACTGAGAGAAATTTTTTGTATGGATGCACAAATTTACCCCTCATTTATTATTGTGTTAACTTTGTTTATATGAGGTATAATGTATATTAAATAGGGATAAAATTGGAAAGTTATTAAAATTTAAATTAGAGTTAATGAAATTTAAGGTTTTCCTTGGTTTGTGTAAAACATGCTAGAAGTGCCTTATAAATAGGATCAGAGGAGTAATATTCAGACAAAACGATGGAATTAACAAGAAAAGCCATGTCATCTGCTTATTAGACATGTCAGGTCAGATAATTTTGGTCAAACTTGTGCTGACTCATTAATTTCACGGTCAAAGTAACAGATCTGTTAGCATGGGATACCGGTGTACTATTTTAATTACTTTGAGGGCAAAATTGCACCATAAATTACTTTAAGCCATTGGGTGTACCTGAAAAAATACTTGGGGGTATTGGATGCACCTTAACCCCGAAAAAATTCCACATCACCTGCCAGGTCAGATTATTTTGGTCAAACTTGTGCTGACTCATTAATTTAACGGTTAAAGTAACAGATCTGTTAGTATGGGATACCGGTACACCATTTTAATTACTTTGAGGGCAAAATTGCATCATAAATTACTTTAGGCCACTGAGTGTAGCTGACAAAATATTTGGGGGTGTTGTATGTACCTTAACCGCTAAATCACAGGAATATTTCCTTCCCAAATATAATGTTAATGTCGAAAATCAAAACCCCTCAAACAGTAAACTCACTCCGATTCTCTTCACTGCAAGGGGACGAAGAGTCTCTCGTCTTCACTCTTCAGGTGTTTATCTGTTGGCACAACTTCCATGTCGTCAATGATGATGAGCAGCAATAGAGACAGAGAAGATGTCCTCACCTTCACCAATCCTTCATCCTCTTCTTCCCCAATCACCTTCTCAGACCAGCTCGATAGTTACCTCACCGACCCAAGTTCGCTCATCGGAAGTGCCTCCGGGAGTTTACAGAACGACAGCCTCCTTAGCGGTGGAGATGGCGGAATCAGCAATAACGATGCTGAGTTCGGCTTCTCTCGGCCTGATTTCCGGCAGAGTCCACTCGTTGGGACCGTCGAGTTCTATGAACGCCATATCTTTCTTTGTTACAAGAACCCTCGGGTTTGGCCTCCTCGCATTGAGGCTGCCGAGTTCGACCGCTTGCCCAGGTTGCTTTATGCAGCGGTCATGGCCAGGACTGGTGATATGAAGAAGCAGGTACTCCATTTCCACCGAGCTTCATTTCAACTGTGAAATGTTGGGGGGGGAAATCAGTATAAAGCCACAAAATTGGGAATTTTTTTTTTTGATTGATTGTATCTAGTATATCTCCTTGAGTTGGAGTTGATCGATTATGGATCTTTTTTGTTTTTGTTTTCTTTTTTTAATGTTTTTTTTGGGGGGGGGGGGGTTTGGGGCGTGTCTTAGCCTTTGATTATCTAATTGCTTGCAAGTTATTTCTTTTTTCTTGATGATCAATGTGTTCATACTTTTGCAGCATGCTTTTAGATTACCGAACAGCAGCAATTAAGCTTCCTGTTCCAGGGATTACAGTTTGAGGAACTGATTTGTACAATGTCTTGTTTAAGTAACCCCTGTTCACCTCCAATGGTCTGACTTTTCTTTTTGGATTTCGTTATTTTTGTTTTATTTTGTGTATTCCCCAGAATTTTCTGTTGCGATGCTTTGTTCTAAGGGTTGAGAGTTGAGACTTGAAAACCTTGTGTATGAGTAACTTGATATTGGTTGGTTTGATATTCTATGGGAGTTGGATTATAAACTGCTTGGTTCGATAGTATTTCTTCCTTTTTCTCATTTTCTTTGTTTACTCATGTAGTTTTGTGTTGACTCTGGTTGGTTATCTCAGACTTGTCTCTTTGCTTGCTAGACTCGCTTAACGATATGTGAGGGGCGTGATGGGGCTGAAACATCAAATGGAGATGTATTAATCTTTCCAGATATGGTCAGATACAGGTTTGTGCAAGTTCTTTGTTGCAACTTCTTATTACGAATAAAGGTTCTGTTTTGTTTCAACCAAAAAAAATGAAAAAGGTTATGTGGTAGTCGTTATTGATTCCCTATGATTTAATAAAATTTCAGGAGGTTGACACATTTTGATGTTGAAACATTTGTTGAAGAAGTTCTTGTGAAGGATGGAGAATGGCTTCCTGGAACTCCTGAAGCCTTAAAAACTTCATATGTATTTGTTTGTTCACATGGATCCCGCGATCGCAGATGTGGGGTTTGTGGACCTGTCTTGGTGAGTAGATTCAGGGAAGAGATAGAGTTACAAGGTCTTCAAAATAAAGTGTTTGTTAGCCCATGTTCACACATTGGGGGACATAAGTATGCTGGAAATGTTATCATATTTGGATCAAGCATCAACGGAAAAGTCACTGGACATTGGTGAGAATGAGACACAAATAACTGTTGAATTCCATTTGGTGCTAGGATTTTCATTTTTCTTCTTCAAAATCTGTAGATACCATGGTAACAATGTTTGTCTTGATTATGAGCTAACTATTCTTACTATCTTAAATATGCAGGTATGGGTATGTTGCTCCAGATGATGTGTCTGTATTGCTTCAACAACATATTGTAAGAGGGGAGATTCTAGACTCACTGTGGAGGTAATCATTCTTACTAACGTTCCTTTGCACAGCTTATGTAAACAGATTTTTTTCCTTTCAGTTATAATGCATGATTTAGAGGACAGTAGTTTTGGAGCTTTCTCTGGTGGGACTTCTTATTTGGCTGTGGATCATTTAGGCTGATTTTGTATCATTTTTCAGAAGTTGGTGGATGATAGTATCCCTAAGGCAAGACTGCGGGTGTAATATGAAGAGATGATGCCGTCTTGCTGGTGAAAACATCTAGAATATAGAAATTCCTAAAATAATGGAAGATAACAGAAGTGCCAAAATTTCAAATATATGGCTAATAATCAAGAAGTTGTTAATACCTTTAGCATTTAAGATATAGAAGATTCTTTTATATCCATAGCTTGTCTAGATTTTTTCCCTTTTAAAATTCACTTCAGCTATGATTGGGGCCTTTTCTTTTTGGTTTTGAAAATGATCTCATATGGATTGGCATGTCTTCTGACAAATTACTGGTTTGAAGCTTGTTTTCTCAGTCAAGGACCTTCCCCGTGAAAAATTTGTTTTGTTTTCTGACATACTCCTTATGAATAATAATCCCTAGGAGTCTTTTGCTTGCGGAATTTCAGATAGCATTTTAATATGAAGAGTTATTCTCTTAAAAGGGTGTTATTCTTGGAATGTTCAAAATCTATCTCTTGCCGATAACTTGTTAACATGTCTCCTTGGGAGCGAAATAATCTAAGTACCTGACTGTTGGATGTGACACGTCAATTGTAAACCCTTTTATTTATTTGTTTGTTTGTTTAGTTATTTATTTATTTATTTACACACGCATTTATATATAGGTTATGTTCGCATGCCTATATCATGAAATGAGAACAACAACAAGCTTTATTTCACTAGGTGGTGTTAGCTATATTAATTGCACGACGTCAATCTGCTTTATCAACAATCAAGTTCTTAGATATATTGTTGACTAGGAGGTCCTCGTTCAATGACCTTGTTTAGTGTTCTACTGCTTTTTATAGGATTCCAAATTGTCTGATCTACCTTTCTCACCAAGGCTTTCAATGGCCTTCTATGCATATGTCCAAACTACTTCAAGAGATGTTCAACCATTTTCTCTTTGATCGGTGCCACACTTACTCTTGTGCGAATAATTTCATTTCGAGCTGGATCTTTTTTGTATGACCACATATTTATCTCAACATCCTCGTTTCTGCTACCCCAACTTTATGCTTTTATTTTTCCTTTAATACCCAACATTTACTACTATACAACATAGCTGGTCTTATAGTATTTGATAAAATTTTCCTTTAAGCTTTTTAGGTACCTTATCGTAAATAACTCTGTTAGTCTTCGTTCACTTTAACCAACAAGCTTATATTCTATGCAAAACATTGCTATCAATTTCATCATCCTCATGTATATTGGATCTAGATATTTAAACTTTGACACTTGAGAAATGATTTGATCTCCTAGCTTCACTTCCAAATCACCATTGCCTTGCCTCCCGCCAAAATTGTAGTGCATATGTTCTGTCTTGCTCCAGTTTAAGCGAAAACCTTTTGACTCCAAGGTCTTTCTCCATAACTCTAATTTAGAGTTAATCTCTTCTTTTGATTCAGTCATGAGGACTACGTTATCCGTGAAAAGCATGCATCTAGGTATTTTTTCCTGAATAAGCTTGTTAGAACATCTAGAACAATATTAAATAAGTAACGACTCAAAGTAGATCCCTAATGTAGGCCAATCTTAATGGAAAAGTCCTTTGTCTTATCTCTAGCATTCTTCTCCTAGAAGTTATCCCCTCATACATATTTTGTATGACTTTGATACAAGTAACCCATACACCTTTCTTTTCTAAAGCCTTCCAAAGTACTTATCTTGACACATGATCATAAGTTTTTTCCAAATTAATAAAACCATATGTAAATCCTTTCCTTTACTCCTATCTCTTTCTATCAACCCCCTTAATAAATAAACTGCTTCTGTAAAACAAAATAAAAATATACACAAACAACTCTGAAAGATATTATAATATCATCATCATTATTATTTTAATGATCTGTACAAAGGTTGAGAATCCGTACATCAGAGTTCATAACATAAAAAATAAAGGTGCTAAACACTAATAGAGATCACGGTCTTTATTCTAAATAAAGCTAGGAGAATCTGAGGAGTGTTCTGCTGCTGTTGTGCTGTTCCGTCTTCATCATATCTGACATGTGGGGCTCCTATCAGGGGGCTTTGGGGGCAGTACTCGAGAATTCAATCCCCAATCCTCATCCACTCAATTCTTACTGCTATCTCTCTTCCCGGCATTTGGAACATTATGTGGTATATGAATGATACAAATTAATAGAAGTTAACCAATAGTGTCCAGCTTTTGGGGGGGGGGGGTTTTGTCTAAGCCCTGCAGTAGAAATTATGTGGGAAAATCTGCACAAAATCAAAATAATAAATTTTCTGAGCACCCATGATTTCGTCAGAGACATGTCACCCAGACTGATTAGGACATCCCCTAAAGTGAATCCACAATAATCAGATATTCACACAACATTTTTGGGTGTTCATAGAAATCTGTGCACAACAATATAATCAAGCAATCTTGTCACATAATTTAATCAGATAAAAATATGGGTTATAATAATTAAGAAATATCTACATAAATATTTTATAAGTCGAAGTCGTTATATTAGTGCAGGGGAATAAAGAGAGAGGAAAAGTGAGGAAATGGACGTCCTCTGCTGCCGGTAAGTAGAGTAAAAGTCTTCTCCTAGTGAGTGATACTCGTATTTCTGATGTTATGAACTCTTTTGTCCAAACACCCAACCTTGGTACAAATCACTGAAATAATAATGATAATGATATTATAATATCTTTTAGAGTTTTCCTCCAAAAAAAAAAAAAAATCTTTTAGAGTTAATTTTTATTTTGTTTTCATCTCGCAATATATGCATTTGTACATTACTCATATGTTGGCAAAAAGAGAAAAAGGAACATAACTTTTATATATATATATATATATATATATATATATATGTAAACAAGCAAATAAATAAATAAAGGGGTTTGCATCAGCAACCCCTCCTCTGGGATCTGGAATTTTGAGTTCCGGCCTATGTTGCCAAATCTGATATTGGCTTGTAGATCCAGAGATGGTAAAGGATTGTGCTTTTAGCAGTTATTTACTGGCACAGAAATATGCTGACTTGTATTTGGTGCAAACTTCTGTGAATATTGTCATTAGGGGCCAGTTGGGTTTATCACAAGATGAGCAGAAGAAAAGCCAAGACCAAAGGCTTCAGCTGAAAGAAAGCATGGAAGTGCTTAAGCAGATGAAGAATGATGAGATAAGCACTGATGTGTATGGAAATCAAGAAGACAACTTTCTGGGCTGCTGCCAAGAGAATGGAGACTCTTCCTGCTGTCAAAACTATGTGTTACAGGAAAACACAAATGATTCTGATGCCATTGAAACACAGGCGAATTTCCCAGCTGAAAATGGGAGTGGTAAGACCTTGATTTCGCAATTTAATAGCAGAAAAGGAGCCTCCCGCAAACTCCGTCCTTCCGTGCCAACTTGGCTTGACAGCTGGGAGCATGAAGATACCTATGCTGCACTTGCTGTTGCCTGTGCTGCAGTGTCTGTTTATTTTGCCTATAGATGCTACAAACAGTTAAGAGAAACCAACAATTGATTGGCTCTTTTAGCAATATGGATTAGGATTAGGTAAGGCAACTTCATTTTAATTTTTTTGTATATCAATATGATGTCGCATGATGCTAGTGCGGTTCTCTGTAAAATCATCCTCAATTAGACTTGAGTGGAAAGTGTGTGAGCTTAGTAAGCAAATCAGTTATGTACATATTTAAATTCTCCCTTCAATGAATTAGTTTGTAACATCTATTGATTTTATGGAGATCATGCTTATTTCTTGAATTGACTACTAAATTCAAGAACACGGATTAAATGCTCTCCTTTTCTTGTTAATCCTTTTAAATTAGTTGGCCCATGAAGTCATTCAGCAGCTAAATGAAAAGGCACAATGTTATTTACATATTAAAATGTTAGTAAGGCTACCTTTAATACAGTAACAGTGTTACGATTCATTGTCTGGGGGTGTTAAGTCTGGGGCTTGAACTTCTGTTCTAAAAAGTCTGCGTCTGCTTTATGCAAGCATTTCCTCTATGCCACTGAAATATCGGGTATGTCCAATACACTTTAGGCATAAAACTTCAGTCTTCCGAGGGCATGTCTAAAACACTTGGGCATAAAACTTTAGTCTTCCTAAGGCATCAATGACATCATAGCATGACTAGATAAACAAGTAAACAGCAGTGGCTTTGAGGTCAGAATAAGGCTTGAAGAAAGTGACCAGTATCTCCCCATTTTAAAATTGACAATCAGTGAGTTGCTGTGGCCATTCTTCTAGTTCTGTTCATGTAACTCTGTTTCTCTGATCTGGGTGATTCTGGCATCGTCTGGCTGTTTCTCTGGTGGGTCCACATGGTGAAATTCATGTCTGATTGGGAAAATGAACCACATAACAGCATCTTACTGCTTCTTGTTTCATGGGAGCCAAGGTCTGAAGAAATCTTCATTGCGTGCTGCTTGGATGAAGTTGAAGTCTCTTTCTCCGAAAGTGTGGGAGGGATGCAAAGTCAATGAGAAGGCGAGAAAAATAGGCCTAGGTAAAGCACAGAACAATATTAACTTCTCACAAAAAGGAGTCAATTCATTCTCTGGTAGTTAGCCAGTTACTTTGGTAAAACCATCTTAAACCTAGTGGACATCAATCTCACATAGTGAAATAAAGCAAGAAACGCTGGATTACGAATCAATGAAGCTGCACTCTAAGATTTTGCACCAGCTCAAAGGTTCTTGCTTAAAGGCAACCAAGCATCTCTTAACAATGGCCGAGTCTACCCTATCTCTGTTACTAAAGTAGCCAAAGATCTGCAATAGGATTAAATACTTGATCAAGCTATAAGACATAGCTGCCAAAGAAACCAAAAGGGACTCATGACCGACAACAGATCTCTGATAATCTCAACTAACAACTTGATCACCATATGACAACTCTGAGAAAAAGATGCCCAAAAGGTTTAGGACGTGCTTGGACTAGAAGTGACAAATGGTGGCTTCTATTTCATCCAGCTCTAGCAAATCTAAGTCCAGGTAAAAGTCATTTAATATAATGTGATTTGTGTTAGGATTGATTATAGTTAAGAAAATCAGTTTGATAAGTTAAAACTTGTTTAGATAATAAAATTTAGAATTTTAAATGTAAAATAACTAAAGAAATATATAAGTTTTATTATATATATTGATATGGTTATTTAACTGAATCAGATTTGAGCATTGTTAGTTTAATTGGAGGTGTGCGTATTATATTATATAATCTGATAACATTAGAAAATATAAAAATTACAATTACTAAAATGAAAAGAGTTAATGAATTATCGGGAAAAAATTGTAAATACTACTAAACGCTTAATTAAATTTTTTTTTCCCTTCTCAAGGGACTTTCGCAAACATTGAATTATTGGGTCTTTAGAGTAATCTTATAATTCCTTTTACTAAAGCAAGTGGAGCCCACATTTTAAAAGACTTATTTTCCTTCTTCCCTTTCCATTGTCATTTTCTCTTCTCTACTGTAGCAACATGACTTTTTTTTTTTGCAGCTATTCTTTTATTAGAGGCAACCTTGTTCAAAATACTGTCAGTATTAAATATGAACATCTCTCCCAACAAAAATTCGAGTTTTGGGCCATGAGCCCTTCCAACAAAACGTCATCCAAATAACATAGTGGAGTTTTTTTCTTTTTTAACATGACTTTTTCTTTCCACAACTTGACTCTTCTCCTATTCACCACTATTCCAAACACACGGTTTATGTGAACTCCATTCTAAGTTTTTACTATATATGTAGAAACTCTTTCCACAACTTGAATATTTAGGTCTATGGGTGAAGCTGAGAACTGACAGTTTATTTACAGGGAGCCAAGTACTCTGCTTAATTAAGTACTGCAATGCTTCCATTGAACTAGTATAAAATTGAAGGGTTTAATGGTTTTCCATCATTTGCTGAGAAATGTATTTGCCAACCACCATAGGTGTTGGAAAAGGCTTTGCACTAGGCATTTCAAAGTTCTTGAGAAGATAAGCAACATACCTTCCCTCACCACACGAACAAGAAAGATTACTGGTGATTCGGCTTGTGAAAAGAAAACAAGTTGTCCCCCTTGAACTATAAAACCCCCTTCTTAATGTAGTACACAATCTTTCAAACTAGGTCCTCGTGCACGTCCTGGACTATTAATTGCTATGGTTAATTGTGTTCTAATTTTTCGGCCGTGTTCTACTTCGGTAGCACCCTGAGAGGCCCTCAAAACCATATATAATATTCCTTGAAGAAAACTATACGAACAGTCATTATTTATATCGAGCTGCCAAAATTTACTAATTGAGCAAGACTACAACTGGGTGTGTATTAGTTTGATTGTAAAAGCCTTAATTCGGTATCATCCTAAGCGTTGATATGAACGGAATATTCTAAAGTTGTTGCATTAGGACGAGTTGAATTCTATGATTCCTTGAGGTTGGCCGCATAATGAGAAACTTGCTCAGAAAAATTCCATTGTTTGTTCAACTCCATGGACGTTGACTTGGTGATACTATGATTGTAACTTGAAGGAAAGATTGTTATCGGATTTTGATCCTGATTTGAGATTTCAAAATGACTTGCCTCCATGACATAAGGAAGCTTGAAAAATGCAAGAGGCTGAATTACGGGATTTCATCTTGAGCCTTGAGGTGTCAGCTTGGAGTTAAGAAAACCCAAAGCAAGAGGAAAGTCAAAATCGTTAAGAGACAACAAATAAAGCTAAAAGCTGTTTCAGACGATTCCCACGAAAACCGAAGCAGGACCATAGCTTAACCAGCCATAGCGAGTCCGGCTTCTAATAGATGCCCATATTTCCTTGTCTGCAAGAGTGGTTTGAACCCACCGGAAGAAAAATTCCCACGAACCTAAAACCAATCTGAATATACTCAAGACAATAAAAGTTTGGTGATCTACTTGAACTATTAAGCATGGAAGAGCAAAAGCCCGAGGTGTTGGAAGACTCCACAAGTTTGATCAAACCATAATAAATCTGTTAGTTCAATAAATAATAAGAGAAAATCTACTCTTAAATCTGAAAATACAAAAGTGTAACTGTTTATTTCTCAAAATCAAGTCTAAAGATGCATTCAAATTCAACTAAAAAGCATTTAATACAACTTAGAGACTCAAAACATTAAATACTAATTTAGAAGAAATTAAAAAACTTAATGAAAACTCAAAAGTCAAATATCCTACCTAATTACTAATTTTGGCTCAAATATACTCCCTCCGTTCCTTATTATAAGAGACATTTGATGCTTATGGCATGTTCCTATATATAAGAGACACTTACAAGTTGTCTTTACTTTTTTGTGTTGATTTACTATTTTACCCATATTTATTATCTCCAACTCACACTCTCTCTCCCTCCCACTTCTCTTTCTTTTAATAATTTAATTATTCTCTCTCATGCTCTCTCTCCTTATTAATGAGGGCATTTTTAGAAAAAAGTTATACTTTTTACACATTAATTGTTCTTAACTAATTTTAATTGTTTTTTTTATCAACGTACTTCGGTTATTTGTCTCTTATAATAAGGAACGGAGGGAGTATTTAATAAAATATAATTAGCATATTAACGTCAAAATGTGATTATTTATTCCCAAATGAGTCTTCCCATATATAGCACTTAGTCCAAGCCCAAAATATGATCAAATTGCTCAACTTTCAGCTCAAGTTATATTGATGACACCCTCAATTTTTTTATGTAGATTTGTTGATCCAATTGTCATTTACTTTGTCAAAGTCTCTTAAATTAGCCCATTTAATACTTTCTTAATTCTCTTGTTTCTTGTTCTTGTGATTGGTCCATTTTGAGGGCTCAATTGACGTCGAAGAAACAACTTGCCGGTTCACATCAAAGACTGACCACACTTGCCACCACAATCATTTTGAAAAAATTTGATTTTACTTTCAAATTGAGTTTCTGCAAACTGTATTTATTTTTTTTTTTTTTTTTGCTGCAAGTTTCCGCAAACTGTTTGACGTGATTCAACGCAACTTAGTGCTTCAATGTTGTGCTGTGAATAATAGGCCCATGTGTTCTATTGATGGAGATTGGAGCAGCATGGTGTGATTAAGATCAAATATCAAAGGAAAGACAAGGAGCCCAAACGCATGATAAGAAGCCCAACATTTTAAAAGATCCATTACAAACTATTGAAGGCTCAATAACAAGAGCAAGAATCAAAGTTATGAATGAGACCTTGAATTGTCTAATAAAAAAACTAAAAGAGTTAGAACATATTTAGTTGGAAGAAGCGCATTTTAATGAGCCTAAAAAAAATCCAAAAATAGTGGTCACATTGTTAGAAGCCCAACAAAATGATGTACATGGCCCATGTGGAGTTAAAATTGAAAAATTCACTTAAAATACCATGTGACAAGCATGTGCCTTGGACAAGAATAATAAGTGACGTCTAAGAATATTCAAGAAGGATTAAGAAGGCATTATTATGAATTAATTATCATTTAAATTCATTTCAGGAAAAAAAATTTCTTTATTTACTTTGAATAATGCCTTTTGGTCAACGATTGTTTTAGAAGATCATAATCTGATCTAATTTTCTATTCTCAAATAATAGACTTGTTCTTGAAGGTTAAATCATTTCTTTTTATCTTTATATAATAAATAGTGCCTCCCATAGTCAAATAATCATTAATGAGACATTATCCCTAACATTTAGGTTTTAATATGCTGGTTCTAGAGTGTTTTATGGTTGCCTATGTATAAGCTACATTTTTTGTAATTAAATTCTAGATTTAGATGAATGAAAATTGAATT